GTCACAGGTGCTGGCGAAACGTTAGGAAACAAAACTTCAAGAACATGGCCACACAGCCCGGAAGACCCACACCAGCCAAATTCTTAATAACTAGATGTGTCCACCATGACATTCATTCTGTAAATGGAGATGCTCTCCTCACCAGTCTATTTGTGACAACCTGTTCTGAAAATTTCAAAAATGTCCACCTGTCATATATTAGACATCTTAAACAAATCAGTTGCAACCTGGACATACTTTTGAAAGGGCTGCTAGAAGACAGCAGAGAAAATGGGAAGACTATAGTACTCATATTATTTATCAACCTTGCCTAGGAAAATTAGCTACATGTTGAGATTAAAGAGGCAGAAAGAGGGATCATCAACTTTTGCTTCATCAGGTGTGCAGGTATTTCTGTCCCATTCAGTGATCTCTACCTGACTCCTGGAGAATTGTCAACATCTGATTCAAGTTACTTTTCCTTGTGAATTCAGCGTACAACATTCTGGCTGTGATTTTAGCTCTAGTTGAAGTCTATCACCTATTTATTTATTAAATTGAAAACATCATAGATTCTTCAAGAAACTGCTTTGGAAGCTTGACCTTTCAAGTTATTTAGAGGAACAATTGAATTTGTTAGTATATTTTGTTGTTTCAAGATGAGAAGTTTAATGTATCTTTGTGGGTGCCTCTATTGATATGAGGATGGAGCATTGAGCATCTTGCCAGAAGTGTTCTGGAAGTTCCCATCCCCATACATCTGAGAGGCTGTTTTAAATAGTTTAAATAAAATAAGTAGAATTTCTTAGAGGGTTACTTCACATTCTTAATGATTCATGGTTCAAAATATTTCATTTTTATCAAAGTGTTGTGGTATGTGGGAGATAATCTGCAGACTGGACATAGCAGGAGGGAAAGCATGGGAAATGTTTCAGAAAGGACCCTCACTAGTTTTCCTGAGATTAAAAGTAAAAGAGGAGAGAGATACTTTCAGTCTTGCAAGATTCTGTTAATGCAACCTTGCAATAAATACAGAGCTAGCACTCCTGGGTGTGCTTCTTATCTGGACTACCTCACAGGGTTAGCACAAAGTGATGTGGTCTAGGAATCACTGGGGTTTAGTAACAGTGCTACAAGTTGTTTGTGATGTGGATACCAAAATGTTTGTTTGTTTTCAAATGGCCAAAATCTTGCAAGAGTTTGATGTTCCTTTTTTAGTATCCTAATATAAATTAGGCAAGATGATTTGATGATCTCAAGGGATTGTAGCAATAGATGCCACTGGTGGCTGAACATCTGCCATGCTGCCCTTACTACCCTTACTACCACGTTGCTGACTTATGGCTGTTATGGTGGACCTCAGCAAATTTCTGTAATAATCAGACTATTTTAGGCTCACAGGCTGTAAGAATAATTGGTTGGCTTTAGTGGAGACATAGATGAGATACAGTGCAAGCTTCCGTTATAGTGTCTATCCTTAAATCTAAAAATGCAGATGCTTTCTAACTCTGAAGAACAGATCTGGCACAAAGATTACATCTTCAGCAGGTTACACAGGTTACAACAGATTTGATCCAAGAAAAATAAGCTTTAAAAGATCAGAACAATCCTTAAAAGATCAGAACAATTCTTGCAAAGGAAGAACTCATAGACACAAATAATTGCTGTATCCTACGCTACAATTTTCAACTATGTTTAGAAAGTCTATGTATTTATGCTGAGTAGAATTCAGTTGCTTTTTTTCTGTTAGATGTGCAAGATGTTTTATAATTATATATATATTATATTATATTATAATTTATAATATAATGCTATCTATAGCATTATTTTTTAGCACTGCAGCATTATCATTTTTGTTGTTGTTGTTGTTGTAACTTTGTTATTACTATTTCCATTTGCTGTTATAATTTGGGTAAGAAAAGTTCCTCTGAATATTCTCAGAGAAGCAATATGTTACTACAGATCTTATAATTTTGCTTTGTCACTTTTAATGAGTTTTGAAGCAGGGTTGAGCTAGTGTGTCTTAGCTCAAACTAATTGCTGGCCAAGGAGTGATGTCCATGGCTCTAAAGATACTTGAAGGGCAAAACATCCAGGTATTGATGTACTGTACATTTGATAATACAATTTTATATGCTCAGAACTTGGTTAAGACCAGCTAATAATGGTGGCAACAATAACTTTTCTGTCCTGTTTGAAATAGTAGCCTGATTGATTTTTTGACCTAGCAAAGAGAATGCAAACCCACCAATCATGGATGCCATTCATATAGCAGAGAAAACTGCATATTTTTGCTGCTGCTGCTGCTGCTGCTGCTGCTGCTGCTGCTGCTGCTGCTGCTGCTGCTGAATTGCAAAGAGAAGAAAGCAAACCATAATACTTCACTGGTA